GGGATAGTTGGAGGGTGGAAAGGGGCAGGGTGTGAGGAATTTCTGCACGGAATGTTCCTCCGGAGGCTGTCTGCATTCTGCGCACGCCCCTCCCCAGTCCCCTTCCCCTCAGCCCTGGGCTCAGGCTTGGGAACCTCCCCCCACCTTGTTTCCTTCCTTCAAAACAGCAGCTCCCAGATACATTTTTCCCAGCCCACCCTCCTTGCAGGCCACAGTGTCCTCCTGCGTGAGCCTCCAGGCAGTTAGGACAGCCACCCCCTAACCTTCCTGCAGAAAGGCCCCTCCTTCCAGCAGAAAGGCCCCTCCTTCCAGCAGAAAGGCCCCTCCTGGCCCCTCCTCAGGCCCACACAATGGAGGAGGTAAAGGCATGTGTGGAGAGGACATGTGTGCCTTTTTTTGGAAAAAAACTGAGGAAAGGATATGCAGCTTCCCTTATCCACCCTGAAGTTCCTGACCCCTAGAATTCAGGAAGTTCTCTCTGTTGTCTGATCTCAGTCTTTCCTACTGCAGCCCAGTTCCTATTCTTTCTGTGGAAGCGTGGTTAAGAAGTGTCTTCCTTCTGAGGACCTGGGCAGAGGGCCTGCTACAACTAGTCTTTACTTATTTCCCACAGGAAGGCAGTTATCAGAGGCACTGCCTGTAGATCATTGCCAGGGAGAGGAGAGCTGGCATGAGGGGAAGTGAGGAGCAAGGCTCAAACAGCGGCTCTCCTACAGACGGGCTGTGTAACCATGGGCAAGTCACTAAATCTCCCAGGCCCTCAGTTTCCTAAACTGTACCTGCAGTAGTGTTTACCTCCCAGGGTGGTTATATGGACTGGTGATCAGGAAGGTAAAACGCCCAGTACTGTGTTCCAGGCATTGCCAGCACTGAATAAATAGTTGTAGTTCTTGCACTAAGTTTGTCAAAAGGCATCTCAGGACCGGGACCAGGGCCAGGGCCAGGCAAGTGAGGCCTCTAGGGTGCAAGATCTGAGGAGTCAAATCTTGGAATCAAATTCCTCAGGATTATGCAAGTGCGCTCACAGGACCTGACAGTGATACCTTCTGAAATGTTGCACCCTGAGGGCTTTGCCCTAGTCCTCACTTCGCTTTGCTCTAACTGTTGGGTTTGGGGCTCTAGAGCAGAGGGCCCCTGCTAAGAGCAGGGCTTGATTTCAGGTAGCATTAGGTTCAAACCCTGCCACCTGCTCCTAAGCTGGATTCTGAGTTGTCCCTCCTGGGGGAATCTGGAAGACCCCGGTGGCACAGTGAGTCAGCTGCCCTCACTTTGGAAAGCATGGGGACCTTCAGCTCCAGGCTTTGTCCTGGGACTGGGCAGTGGGTGGGGTCGGGCAGAGGGGTCTGTATGTGTTTGGGCTCCGCCCACTTCATCCCTCTACAGCTGACTTGAGGAGGAAGGAGAAGAGCCTGCAGAGAGGCACCAGCTCACCCTGCCAGCAGGATGGCTGAGGGCTAAGTGTGAGGGCAGTGACATGAGCCTGGCAATGTGCTTTACAAACCTGGGAGCCAGCTCTGGCCATACCACGAACCTCGCCATGAAAAGCTAGGCTGGTCAGACCTGCCTGCACCTCAGTTTCCCCATGTGTGAAGCGGGGATGGAGGAGATGATGTCTTAAGTCCCTCTCAGAGCTGATGTCCCTAGGAGTGGCAAGCAAGGATGGTGTGTGCGTGTGGGGGATGGGGGTGGGTAGGTGTAGAAATATCCTGGCCAGGAATGAAGTGAAGATGGTCAGGGGCTTTGGATCCAGAGGGTCCCGGGAGTGCCAGCTATACTCACTAGGCAGTGTCAATGGTAGGGCTTCCCACTGGGCTGCAGTCTCCCTGCAGGGCAGGGGACCCTGCCCTCCTCTTACCAGTCCCTTGCCTTTTTCATTCCCAGTACCCCCAGGGCTGCAGTGGTTGGGAAACAGAGAAATAAGACTTGAATTCCCGGAGAGTTGCAATGGAAGGCGGAGGAGGGGCAGGCAGCACGCATGCTGGGCTGTGTTTGCAAACACTGCAGGACAACTCAAGTGTTTAGATGATGTGGGGGGTGGGGGTTTGGAAATTTTTAGCTTCTCAGAAAGCATCTCAACCAGTAAGCTGAAGGCATCTGATCTCTGGCAAGCTTTGCCCTGTGGCCCGCCTCCAGCTGGCATGGGGAAGGGGTGGGGGCAAAGGGGATGGTGCTCAGATGATCACTGGCAGGAGGAGAAAGTTTCTCTTGCATTACTGAGGCCTGTGGTTTCTAATATTGACGCCAGCTCCCTTGTCTGCACCATGCCAGACCCAGGAGGGGTGGGGCAGGAGGGTCGCAGTGAGTCAGGGTGGGCTGGAGAGGCCCTGGGCCTTGGGGATATGCGGGCGCTGACCAGACATCATAGTGAGAGCGGACAAGTCCTGAGGGCTTCCTGAGTGTCTTGTGCTCTTCCAAATGCTTTATGTGCTTTGTTGCATTTGATCCCCACAAAATAACCCTGTGCAGGCCTGTTGCAGAGCAGGAAGGACAAGGTGACCTGCTTGAGGTTGCATAGCTAGGTAGCAGCCGAGAGAACTGGAATGTGGACCCGGGCGGGAGCAGCAGGTCTAAACCCTGCCACCTGCTCCCAGGCTGATTCTGAGTTGGAGTTGTCCTGCTTGGAGGCAAGGGGGCTGCTAGCTCAGGCTGGTTGTTCTCAGAGAATCATCTGGGACGTGCGTTGCCTGGAAACCTGGTAGAAACGCATGTTCGTTCTTGGGTCCCACTGTAGCTCTAACCGTGTGTGTGTGTAGGGGGGTAGCTGGGGGGCCCAGGGGGTCAACAGCCCTCCAGGTGGTGCTATACACATTCAAGTTTGAGACCCCTGGGCTCATGCTCTGCTGAGGGTCAAGGCCTATTAGGAGGCTTTATCCAGAGGCGGAAGAGAGGCTCTTCCAGGCGCTGAACGGGCCTGGGCAGGTGCATCGTCTGTAGCTTGTCTACCCCACTCCACGTCTGTACATTCTAGGAGGCTGGATAGCGGACAGGCCAGGAGTGAGGGCATTGGAGTTGGGAGATTTTGTTTTGTGTCTCAGTTCTGCTGTGATCTGCCTTTTGAGGGTTCCCTTCCTTCCCACAGGAGGCCAGAGCAGCTCTGAGAGGAGGCAGCTGGGCTGTTCTGCCCGACTTCAGGTCTCCATGTGGGAATGTCAGAGCCCCTGGAGAAGAAGGGAAAGGCTAGGGGGTGGAGAGGGCCCCGGCAGGCTGACACCCTGGTTAAGGGATGGGTGGGGCTGGGTTGGAGGCTGAGGGGAGCACCTGGTCCTGACTAGCAGGCAGCTCTGAGAGCTCAGGCTTACCCTGAGTGGGTTAGGGGGTTAGTGGGTTAGGATTAGGACTGAGCTGAAAGAGGGCAGAACCTGGCATCTTTACTCCTCCAGAGCCATCCTCAGACTCCAGGTGGAGAGAGGGGGTGGACCTTTCAGCGGGGAGGAGAGTGGAGGAGATGTGTGGGAGGGGTTGACCCCTGTCCCCAAGACCCCTGTGCCTGGACCCCATCGTCCCTCTACCATCCCCAGCTTCCTTGGCCCTGAACTGCTCAGGAAGTTTCATCCCCTGGAGAGGAGTTTTGGCCTCAGCCTCCTGTCTTCCAGGCAGTAGGGGTAGACGAGCACGTTTGGGCCATTTCCGGAGAGAGCACTGTTACCTCCGCCAGCCCAGTCTCTTCCTCCATGCCCATCTCGGCCCACGCTGCCTCCCTGACGCCGGAATCTTTCAGAGGTCATTCTGTCCATTCTCCTGCCTTTAGACACGAGCAGCTCATCCCTCAGGTCTCAGGGGTGGGGTTGGAGCAGGCACCTCCTGTGTCAAGATACAAGACACTGGGTCATACTTGTTCTCACCAAGGTTTGCTTCAGAACCTTTCCAGTTGTGCTCAGGCCTTTCCACCCAATTCGAGGGCCCCATAACCACGTCACTAAGTTGGCAATGGAGCCCTAGATTCTGTTCAGGAGGTGGGCCCGGCATAGGAAGTTTCTCTTCTTGCTACGGGGAAAAATCAGACCACCTTTAGCTGGAAGCCCTTCTGTTGGTCTGGGTGAAGAAAGGAGGGTGCCAGGGTAAGGGATGGGATCAGCCAACAGGTGTTGACTTATGGCCCACTATGCATACATCATGAGCCCTGGCAGGAGGGAGCTTCCAAATGAATTGGTCAAAATGTTGCTTTGAATCCATTGTGGATGAAGGTAGAATAAGAATCACAAATAAAACAATCAAGTCATATATTTCCGTGATGAGATTATTCATACACTAAGGACCAGACAGGGAGGCGATTGGAGTTCAGAGGTGGGAAGGAGATCCCCACTTGCTGAGGTGACCAGGGAGGGCTTCCTGGAGGAAGAGAGCCCTCTATGTAAGGAAGAGGGGAAGGCATTCCACAAGAAAAGACCTGGATATGGGAATAGGCAAGAAGGGTTTAGGGGTTGGGGCTGATGGAGGAGAGCCTTGGTGCTTGGAAATTGAGGTTTGTGAGGCCCCATGGTGGGTGTCTGAAAGCTCACTGAAGTAATGAGACTGGCTGGCTGCACATTTCAGGCTGCTGGGATTTCATGTGGAGCCCCAAGACGGGGTTCAAATCCTACCATCCCTATTAGAGTTGGTGAGTTTGGCTCAGTCATTTAACTTTCTTACCTGTAGAGTGGGGGTAAAGGTAATAATAGTACCTACCTCCCTGGATTCTTAAGACTAAATGAGACACTGCAGGTCATTGACCCCCACAATTTGAGGGTGTCAGCAACTGTATGAACCAGAGGTCTGGCGCTGGGCACCGAGCATGGGTCTTCGGTGAAGCTTTGTAGAACTGGACGGCTCTAGCACTATTAGGATGGCTTTCCAAATGCCAAACCATTCCCCCTGTGCTTGCGGCCAGCCAGATTATGCCTGAGTCTTCAGTCCCTGTCTCGGGGGGCATTCTGCCCATCAGGGCCACCAGCCATGAGGAGAGAGCCCATCCCTGGGATGTCTGCCCTGAGGCCTCATGCTGTTTGTCCTTCTGTCCACAGCCCGTCACCACTGAGAATGCACCAAAGAATGTAGTGGACACGGTGAGTGATGGCAGGTGGCAGTGGGGGGAGCCGGAGTAGCGTGGGTAGGAGTGAGAAGGCCGGAAGTGGAGAGTGGGTTTGGGGGAGAGTGGGTAGATGTGGCTGGGGAAATGCTTCCAGAGTAGATTTGGGGAGCTTAGGGGGAAGTGGTGGGGCGGCTGCTGACGCTGGGAGCAGGGCATCTGACGATCCCTGTGTGTTTGGAAATGGGCTGCTAGGGAACTGGGCAGGCAGAGAGGGAGAGGCGGGGTGGGAGCTGAGAGGGAGCAGCCCGTGGTTAAATGTGGGCTTCCTTATGAAATATGCAGAATGTGAGAAAGCCAGGCAGAGCTTTCCAAACAGGGCTTTCGGATCTAGCTGAGACGGACAGTTTCCTCAAGGCTGTGTGGAAGGTGAAGGGAGGAAAGAAGGTTGGTTCTGCAGTGGGGAAACTGAGGTTAGCTTCTGAGAGAGATCTCATGGCGATGGCCAGCATGAAATCATGGGCTTGGAGATGAAGGACTTCAGTTCAAACCTTGACTCCGCCAAGGTTCTACTTATGTGACTGTGGGCAAGGCATGGGGCTGTCTGTGCCTCAGTATTCTTGTCTGCAAAATGGAAATAATAGTATCTCCCACAGGAGTGGTTGTGAGTTGTAAATGAGAGGGTTTGGCTAGCTCTGAGGGGCCTTGATATGGGCAAAGAAATGTGAAACAAACACCACAGTTCTTTCCCAGGCCCCCTGCCAGCCTCCTCATTTGCCACTCCTGACATACCCAGCAGGTAGAAGACTGGGGTGCCTTTTGGGTACTTTTCTTGCCTCCCCTCTCTGACTGCCTTTTCTCTGTCTGCAGGGAGGAGGTGCCTCCCAGGGTGGAAACACACGGAAAAGCCTCGAGGACAACGTGAGTGTGGCTGGGGAAAAGAAGGATGGGGCTGGGCCCCTGGTGGCCAGGGGGAATGGGGCAGGAGGAGGATAATGCCTTGTTTTGTGGACTTCCCGTACCCCTCTCTAGAAGGAGAGGCTGGGATTGTGGGAAGGCTTGTTTCCTGATGGACTAGGCCTCACCCTTGGCTGTGGCCTCTGTCTAAGCGGGATCCAGAGCTCATTCCTCTATGGCTGCGCCAGGCCTTGGTGCTCAGGGCAGGCAGGAGGAGAGAGGGCATGCTACAGGAGCCTGGCGTGTGATGAGTGGCCATGGACGCAAGGGGAAATGTGCAAAACCACAGCCAGGGGGACTGAGGGCTGAGGCCAAGAAGGAGCCCTGACTCTTAGGGGGTCTTAGTCCTTGGGGAGGTGGTAGAGTCTGCTTCCCTGGAGACAGCAGTCTGAGAAGATGGTGAGCTCCACTGCCTAGCTTAGATGCTGCTGGTTTAGTAGGAGGAGGCTGGGAGATGTGTCTCTCGGTCCCCCTGGGCTCCTGTTTCGCATTTTGTGGAGAGGAGAAGGGGCAGATGGCTGAAATGGAAGGACCCCACAGAAGGGCACATGCCTTGAGTCCCGTTTGGGGTTGGGCTTGTCTCCACACCCCAGGGGCAGACCCCCAGCATAGCGGGGCTTTCTTCTTTCTTCCCTGTCCCTCTCTGATAGTGCCCCTTGCTGGCCCCTCCATCCTCACCCACCCTGGGCTGCAGAGGAACAGGGAGTGGTTTTGGTGGTTGGCACAGGGGTAGACGTTGATGGCACGAGGCCCTATCATCTGACAGCTGCCTGACCCACGGCGGGGAGGGCCCTGGAGGGAGTGCGGGGGGAGCAGGAGGGGCAGCTCATGTAGGCAGCCTGACTCCTGCGGTGAGCCCACTGCCACTGCCACATTGCCCTGGGGCAGCCCTGCACGTCCAGCCCTACAAAGCGGGAGCGTCCCTAGGGCTGCCTGGGGCCCCTCCAGGAGGAGCGGGGAGCATGCCTCTCAAATTAGTGGGGAAGGCTCTGCTCAAGGTATGGGTGATTTCCTCTGGGCATGGTGTACTCATACTGGGGAGAGGCCCTTGTCCAGGTTTGTGATGTTTCTTGGGCTGAGATGCAGGGGGAACCTAATTTTTTTGTGTGTACCTACTACCAAGGATGTACTAGCTCGATGTACTCAAAATGCATCATACGTGCTCAATAAATGTGAGCCGTTCTTATTACTGTTATTTTGACTAAGGACCGGGAGCTGTGTTTTGAGAGCCTCATGACACCCCTGTATGGCAGAGGCTATGAGTCCACGTTATAGGTGAGGAAACAGGCTTGGCATTGCTGCATGACTTGATGAACGCCTCTCCATCCCTTCCTGGGACTGCTGCCCTATCCTTCAGCGAGGGGACAGGGTGATGGTGTGTGAACCAGGCCTTCTAGCCAATGGTCTGGGCACACTCAGGAGCCAAATCCTGAGCTGCTGTCCCCACATCCCCAGCCTGGGCCATCAGATGGATCCTGTCAACTACAGCTACAGGAAGAGAGAGTGAAGTCAGACATCAAGAAGAACTTTTGATTGCAAGAGTTTGCACGACCTTGGTCTGCGCACCTAGGGAAGAAAGAGGTGGCTGTTTAGTTGTGACTAAGGCTCTTTTGCATTTTTTTAGAAGAAAGCGTTGGTGATCTGGGATGAATGTGTCTGTGTGTGCCTATGTGTTGGGGTGGGTAAGGGTGCAGTCTTATCTGGATATGGGAGGAGGGACAAGATGAGTTTTGGAAACGTAAGCAAATGAGCAGCTTCCAGAATAGCCTGTGGACTGCAAAAGAGGAGAAAACCTAATTTTTCAGGCTCTTGTCACCTGTCTCAGGTTGGGTTGACCCCAGGGTCATTGAAGCAGTCCCCTGCCCAGCCGGGGGACTCTCCTGCTGTCCACTCCGGGGGAGGAGGGCCTGGGCCTGCTGCTGCAATAATGTGCCTGTTTGTCGAGCTGCCTTGCTGTCTCTGGCCCATGGCCCAGGACTCACAGGCAGGAATGGCTGTTTTCCTCCTGGCGAGCTAGTGTGTAGTGGAGTTTGTGGACAGTCGTACTTTGTGTCGTACTTTGTTTTGGAAAAATCCAGACTAGTGGGCAGGAAGGAGAGGAGAAGGGGTGTGGCTGAAGGGGGTGCTATGTGGGGGGTTGGCCGCAGCCCCCAGAGGAGATGTAGGAATGGGGCTGGGCCTCTGACTTCGGTCGGTCACCAATCTCTGGCTGCCTGAAGAGGCCCCTGGTGTTCACTTACCGACCCTCCTCCCAACTGTGCCCCTCTGGGGACCTGGGTTCAGGAAACGGCTTTTCTTTTGGTCCTGAGCTGTTATGTTTGGTCTGTGAACCTCAAAGGAAGGCAGGGCTCTTCCCACAGAGGCATTGCTTCAAACCAACCCCACCCAAGGCTGGGGGTTCCTGCTTCTTGCCTAATGGCAGGGAAGAAGGCAGCAGAACACAGAACCTGGGGTCATAGACCTTGAGCCATCCAGTAGTGTCTGAGTGGTGATCAGCTCTTGCCTGCATTGAGGACCAAGGCAAAAGAGTTGATTGAATCTGCAGCAGGAAGAATGAGGGTTAGATACCAGGAGGAACTTCCTGACAGTGAGAACAGTAAGACATTGTTTTTGGGAGGCTATGGAATCTCCTTTCATGATGCCCTTTCAGCAAAGGAAGGGCTGTGTTTTGGAGGTGAGGATAGGGGAGAGTTCTGTTTGGTGTTTAGAGAGTTGGAGGAAAAGTTCTATAATAGATCTATGTCTTGAGAGGAGCTAGGAATAAGCTCAAAGCCATGTGGGTAAAGCGCTTTGTGATCCCCAGAGAGGAAAGAATAGGATAACAGGCAGGCAGAGAGCTTATTTTTCTTTTTAAAATAAAGTTTGTAAGGCCCTGTAGTCATTTCCCTAGGGGCTCTCTGTGGAGTAGGCAGAAGATGATGTGGGCACTGTGCTGTGCCCGTTTTACAGATGGGTAAATGAACCTCTACTCCTCACACTGGCTCTGTTGATGAGTATCATTGTCCATAGAATATAAGCTCTCTGAGGTCAGGACTTTACTTCCTTCGTCCTCTGGTGTCTAGAACATGGCCAGGCACACAGCTGGTGGCACTTGGTGAATGTTTGCTGAATGAGAGAATGAGCATGAAGATTGGAGGCCCAGGGATGACCGGATGCCTTGACTTGCTCCCACCCTACTTGTAAAAAGCCTATGTGATTAGGCTTGCTTCCAAAGGCACCCACCTCTAGCCTTGGGTGAGGTCACCTGTGTTTTTGGAGCAGTAGGTTGTGTTTGCTGACACGCCCCCACCCCCCGCCCATTTGTTGTTCCCTGAGTTCTGTCTGTTGGTGTGCACCAACACTCAGACGTGTTACCGTTCATGTCTGGTCTCTGCCAGCAATGGTCACGTGCCCCCAAACTTTGCAGAAAACAGGAAGCCCCATCAGTGAGAGGGCAGCCCAGTGATTCATCAGGGGATGACAGTCCCAGCTGTTCGTCCCGCATCCTCTGCAGTGGGGTCACTGTCCAGGGCGGCTTCCTCCTCATGCCTCCCCTCCCCGACCCGCCTGGTGAAGCAGAGCGGGCTTGGACTTTGCCTTATCACCTCTGGAGGCAGCCTGGCCAGACTCTGTTTGGGCCAAGTTTTTATTTATCTTCGCTGGCTTTTTTGGGGTGGGGAGGCTGAGGAATGTGGAGTGTTGTAATGTTTGAAAGAGGGCGGTGGGGAAACGGGAGCCAGGTCTCCTGCCCTGGTTGTCCTGCTTACCCCTGCACCTTTGCAGGCTCCCAGCTCCCTTGGTTCCCCAGTTCCCCCTGCCAAGCCCTTCTCAATATGGTCCATTGTGTTTCTCCAGCTCCCTGGGTCTGGTCCTATGCTCCCGGCCACACCTCACGCCTTGGCTACCGTTGTGGCTTCCAGTTGTTCAAAGCAGCTGTGGTGGCTTCCTCCAAAAGTGGCTACGGATCAGCAACAGATGAAACCCGAGGGGCTATTTACAGCAGGGTGGCCCTGGGGCCTGGAGCAGGGCCTCGGGTCTGGGGAGAGTCAAGGACTCCTCATTAGTGACCAGTGGGATGGAGACGGATGAGGTGTTGGGTTTCTGTGTTCCTCTGGGAGGGTAGTTTTGGAACAGCCTGGTTTGGGTCTTGAAAACCAAACACAATCTCTCCTTGACTCCCTCCACCCCAGCTCCACCCCTCTCTAATCCCCCCACCCCTCCCCAAGCCTGACTCATGCAAACTGGAGTCCTTAGGGCCAGAAGAGCTGCGAGACTAAGAAACTCCCCATAGCCCCACTTGGCTCTTCCCTTCTTCACTGCTGCGGGGCTGCTCAGCACTCTGAGGCTGCTGGGACAGATGGGACAGAGGGGACTCTGGACAGAGCCTTCTCTCGGATGGCTGGATGGAGGACCCTCCTCTTAGCAGAGCTGCTCTAACTTGGGGCTCAGCTGAGAACTGGGCCTTGGAGTCCCCCTATTGGGGGGGACTGCAGGGCCAGGAGAGGGCTGCAGAGGCTCCTCTTCTTAGAGACTCTCAAGCCCCAGGTTGAAGTGTGAATCCTGCCTGCCCATCAACCTCCCAGGGACTTGAGGGTGAGTTATTCTGCGCCTCAGTCTCTTCCTTTCTTGTAAGATTGTGGTCCTGTCTCCTCCAAGAAGATGCTGCAGGAAAAGACCATTTTCTGAGAGGCATATGGGTGTTTGGAAGGCGTCGATGGGCTCAGGAGGTCTGAGAACCTGGAAGCTGGGCATCCCAATTCTGTGTCCTATGAGGTGGCTGGAAGGATGGGTGGCTGCCGGGGGCAGAGGTGATGTAGGGTGTAGATTCTCTACAGAGATGAATGTTTGGTTGTAACCACCCTTTTCATTTTTCTTGATACAAAAGTAACAGCAAAAACAACAGCTGTGACCTGGCGAGTGCCAGGTGATACACAGTACCTTATATGCATCACTCCTTTGGATCCTCCCTGCCAACCTGAAGGTTATCCCAATTCACATGTGATGTTACAAGAGGCCCAGAGGGGTTAAGGAACTGGCAAGGCTGCCCAGCAAGATGCTGGAACCCAAATTCTGTGGTCTGTGGGCCTCCCACCCTGGCTCTCACACCCACCATGCCATCCTGCTTCCCTGGGATGTTTTGGGTCCATTTGCTTACATTTGTACCCCTCAACAGCTCTGAAAATGGGAGTGGGTGAGATGGCCACTGTCTACCCACAGGCACTGGGCAGCGGGTCCTCAGGAGCATGGCTCACTGCCCTAGACCTCGTCTTGGTTCCTGCATGACCAACCTGGCTGTTCTGGTCTCTGAACTCGATTGAATGACTCGATGTTTCTGCTTTCAAGCAGAGAAGTATGGGGTGACGATGGCAGGACAGAGGGGCACCATCACTCTCGTCCTTCCTGTTTCTTTCATGGTGGCGGTGGTATTCTCTTTTTGGGGTTTCTCTTGTGTTGGTGAGTGAAATGTATTTCCATTGATTCAGTAACTGTCGAGTGTGCTCTCAGTGAGGATGGCACCGGCCTGGTGGGGTATACTCCTCAGCATTTGGGATTTCTTCCTTTTGTCCCTCTGGGGCTGGCACACAGGCAGGCACCCTCACGTGGAATCAGTGTTGATGGCTTTGGCTTCCGGCAGCCTGTGATTTTGCAAGGGTTAAGGCGGCAGGGCCGGAATGTTGGCAGAGAAAGGAGAAGAGGATCGTGTTTGCTCCTGTAGACAGCTCTCTGGTGCGCCCCTCCCACCATCCTGCCCACCCCTGCATAATGCTGCTTCTCTTCTCTCCTTCCCAGGGCTCCACCAGGGTCACCCCGAGCATCCAGCCCCTTCTCCAACCCATCAGGTATGCCTGGTCCACAGGGGCAGGGGGTGGAGTTGCAAGCAGGGGCATCACTGTGGGTGCTCCTGTCAAGTCTTGCCTCTGGGTTCCCCAGACTGCAGCCATAAAGCCACGGGTGGGGAGCGTGGGCAAATGTGAAAGGCACAGGAGAGGATACCTGCAGATGCCCTTGGCAACAGCTGTGTTTTGAGCTCTTAGCCAGCCCTTGAGCTGAGTCTTTATTTACCTGCATGAGCTCATCTAGTCCTTGCAACAACCCCATAAGGTATGTATTTTATTCCCTTTGATAGATGCTGTGTTTCAGGGAGATGAGGTGACTGGTAAAGGTCACACAGCCACCAAGAGGCAGCACTTGGATTTATGTTTAGGGCTGGTGGGCATCGAGGCCTGTGCTGGATCTCTTCCTCTCTGCAGACAGGGGGTTCTGACTGGGCAGAGTCGTTTATGAAAGGAAAGTTCCCTATCTGGCTGGGCTGGCAGGGGCCGGGGGAAGGGGTTGCACAGTGGACTTTGTGTCTTGGCAACCCAGAGAGTTTGTTTTGCCCCCTCCCTCTCTGCCTCACCTTCACCCACTGAGGCTCCTGAGACAATTGTAAATGCCAGCCCTGGGATAGATCGAAGCCTCTGGCAGTTTCTGGCCCAGCTGCTCGCTGTCCAGACTGGAGGTGGCTCCTTAGAGAATCCCCTTGTTCTTTTAGACCTGGGCAGGTGGGTACAGAGTGTGATGCTGAGCCTGTCCGGTTGGTGACATTGTTCTGCCTTTGCGTCCTTCCCAGGATCCAGCCTGTGGACAGGGGTGGGTCAGCACCCAGGATGGTCCATGTCTGAGTCCTGGCCCTCACCAGCACGGCCCCTCTGGCTCCCCGTCCTGTGCTGAGGGAGAGGCTGAAATCCTAGGAGCTTGGCTTGCGAGTTTTTCTGACATTCTAGTTTCCTCCTTGAAGCCAGGACAGAAGGGTTTTGGAGGAGGGGGAGGAGGGGTGCTGCAGGTTAGCTGAGGCTTCCCGCCCTCACACCCACTTGCTTGCAGGTATGTGTGCATGTGGCTTCCTGTCCCAGACTGGTTACTGTCTTCTGGGACAAGATGGCGACCTTGGGTAGGCATATGGCTTGAACTGTCCTTGGGTAGGCAGATGGCTTCAAATAGGAACTTCACCCCCACAGCTGCAATGAGAAGCTTTCCACAGGGACAGGAAGTGGTTGGGACTCAGAGTCAAACTCTCCTTACCTCTGGCTGTTGGTTCCTGATTCCACTCAGGTCCCTGATATTCCACCAGAGAAGTCCTGCCATGCCTTGCCCTTGGCTACCCCATCTCCACGCCCCACCTGGGCTGGGATTGAACCCTGTGGAGTCTGGATTCTTCATGGCTTCTAGGCATCTGGGGACTTGTTCTCTCCAGTACCAGAGAGCCCTCATCACTTTTTTTTTTTTTTTTTTGAGTCAAAGTCTTGCTCTGTTGCCCAGGCTGGAGTGCAGTGGCACTATCTCAGCTCACTGCAACCTCTGCCTCCCAGGTTCAAGTGATCCTCCTGCCTCAGCCCCCCTGGTTGGTGGAATTACAGGCACATGCCACCATGCCAGGCTAATTTTTGTATTTTTAGTAGAGACAGGGTTTCACCATGTTGTCCAGGCTGGTCTTGAGCTCCTGACCTCCAGGTGATCCACCCACCTCAGCCTCCCAAAGTGCTGGGATTAGAGGCATGAGCCACAGTGCCCAGCCCCTCATCACTTTTAAATACTCTGGTGGTATTCCTCCTGCTGCCCTCCACTGTCCACTTTATCCCGCTGTGGTGAAAAGCTTGCAGAATGAAATGGGAGTGCTGCCTGCATTTGATAGAGGGGAGCGAGTCATTCGGAGGTTGGTGATGGGGTAAGAAGCTGGAGGGATGGGGGAGGTGCTTCTAAGAAGCTAGAGGTGTGCCTCCCCAGTGGGCATCCTGGACCCTTCCCCTGGAAGAAAAGTTGGGAGAGATGTAAAGATGTGAGCCCTTCCCTTCCTCACCCACTGCCCAGTGGAGAGGGGTGGCCAGCCTGGGGGCCTCCCTACTTCTCCGGGAAATGTGTGGTGCTGGCGGCTGCCTGCCACCACAGCAGCAAGGGCTCAGTGCCCTCTTGTTTCCTGGGCCCTTAGAAATCAGGGAGGCCGCTGCTGCCAAGAATCAGCTCTGGCAGGCAGTGGGAGCTGCCAGAGGTGGGTAGAAGGCCAAAGAACAAAGGGCAGGAGTCAGCCTGCCTCTGGGAGGGCTGGAATGTGTGCTGTGGTCTGGCTTACCTGGAACCCAGGTGAACGTGTCACCTGAGCTGCCCCTTCCCCTGAGAGGCCTCCCGCCCACTCTACAGCTCCGTGGCTCAAGAGCAAGGGGCGGGCAGTGGAAGGCTCCTTTCCAGGGCTGGAGAGAGCCCAGCGCAGGCTCTCCTTCCTCTTCCAGAGTGGTCTGGGCTCTTCTGGAGACTTCTGCCTGGCCAGGTAGCCACAGTGTGTTGGGAGCCAGAGCTCCTGGGTTTCTCAGCCAGTCGGGCCCTGACTCTGAGCTCTGGAGTTACAGATTGAAGGCAGTAAGCCCACAGGACTGATGGGAACCAAGAATTGGTGTCATCACAGTTTGGTTCTGAAATCACCTGAGGTCTTTGCCAGCCCTACCCAGCTTGTTCTCACCGGGACACCCATGCAGCCCACACTGCCCTTGCCAGAAGAAGTGCTGGTCTTGGCCTTGGGTCGAAGAACAGCTAAGCACCCTGGGCTGCATTTGGGGGTCACATAGGGTGTGTATGGGGTGCAGCTATCTGGGACCTTCCCTGTGGGCTGGATTTTGATCTGGACCTTCCGCTGCCTGCTGTTTCCCTAGAAACATGAATGTGAGCCGGACCATGGAGGACAGCTGTGAGCTGGACCTGGTGTACGTCACAGAGAGGATTATCGCTGTCTCCTTCCCCAGCACAGCCAATGAGGAGAACTTCCGGAGCAACCTCCGCGAGGTGGCCCAGATGCTCAAGTCCAAACATGGAGGCAACTACCTGGTGAGGATGGGGCCTCGCGTCCATTGTCCAGCACCCTCTGTGCTTCCCTCTACTCGCCACCTCTTCGTGGCTGGTATCCCTGCCACCAGCCCCTGTGCCAGCACATCGTCTTCCCTTTGTTTATCTGCCCTTTCTCCCAGGCAGCTCTCGTGCCTGAGTCTTCAGTTGCTCTCCAGCCCAGCTCTACGCTAAGGAGTGTGCTGCAGCTGGAATGCAGCATCTGGAACTCTGTGTGTGCATGTGTGTGCTGGCCAGGAGGAGAGTAACAGGAAGAGTTCAGGTTATCGAGCGCTTGCTGCTAGCCAGGCCCTGTTCCAACGCTTTCCACGCACTGAGCCTTTGCAGCAGCCCTAGCAAGCAGGTACTTGCTGGAGCACAGAGAGGTGGGGCTATTTGCCTAAGGTTGCAGGGTCCGAAATTGGCAGAGCTGGCACAGGGTCAGTACCTCTGAGAAGTCTGAGGGACGAGTCTTGGCAACATGCATCTTAAAGGACCCTGGGTTGCTGGTACCTGGCTTGGCCTGGCCCAGAGGAGTTGCCTGACACATAGGAGAGAGGTGCTGGCGGTGGTCTACACTAACGTAGAAAGGTGGATCCGTCCTTGGCCCCAGAGGAGGGCTCAGGTCCATTCTACAGGGAGGTGCCTAGGGACTGGACCCATGGATCTGATCTGTACAACTTCAGGTGGCTGCCCCTGGGGTGTTTGAGGTGGGAAGCAGGAGGCTGTCTTCATTTCCCAGGGACCAGCGGAACAAATGAGGCAGCCCTTTCTATCCACATTTCACCTCTGTGGATTCAACCTACCATGGGTTGAAAATATTCAGAAGAAACTCCAACAGTAAATAACAATAAAAAACAATACAAATAAAAACAGTACAGCGGAACAACCAGTTGCATAGCGTTTATATTGTGTTAGGTATTACAAGTAACCGAGAGATGATTTAAAGTCTACAGAAGGATATGCATAAGTTACATGCAGATAGTACACTATTTTATATAAGAGGCCTGAGCATCCATGGATTTGGGTATCCACTATCCATGGTGGGGTGGAGGGGTCCCAAATCCCCCACAGACACCAAGGGATGACTGTACCTTAAATTTGGTGTCTCAAAATAACAGAAATGTATTCTATCACAGTTCTGGAGGCTGGAAATCTGAAATCAAAGTGTTGGTGGGGACATGTTCCCTCTGAATCCCATGGGGGAGAATCCCTTCTTGCCTATTTCTAGCTTTTGGTGGCATTCCTTGGCTTGTAGACCGTCACTCCAATCTCTACCTCCATCTCCACATGGCCTTCTTCATTGTCTCCCTCTGTGTCTTCTCTTCCTACAAGGACGTCAGTGATTGGATTTAGGGTCCGCTCTACATCCAGGCTGATCTCATATTGAGATCCTTAACTACTTATGTTGGCAAAAGCACTATTTCCAAATAAGGTTGCATTCTGAAGTTCTGGGCGGACATGACTGACATTTTGAAGACACTATTCAACCGCTATAGAGATCCATCTGTTAGCTGCACTGGGGCATTCTTGAGTCTGGCTTTAAACATCAGAAAGTCCTGGGTTCAAATTCTGGCTCTGCTCTTACTAACTACGTGATCTTGGCTGTTTAGCCTCACTACTTCTACATCTGTAAAGTGGGTCTAAGATCTACCTCTTTTGGTTGTTGAGAGAATTAAGCCAGCTGTTAGATGTAAAGTCCTGGCAGGTAGTGGACATTCATTGAGTGATGGCCGTCATAACATAATAAAGTGTATTCCTTTACAGAGTGCAAGAGTGGGTGAAAATCCATCTAAGATCCTTTCTGATTTCAGGAGTCCAGGGTTCTGTGGGACTTGGTGCCCTGCTACCCCTCTACCCCTCTCTTTATCCTGCCTATTCCAGACTGGGCTGCCCCCTTTTCTCCCCAGGACTCAACACGGTGGCCTTTGAGTTTCCCAGGCAGTGGGGTGGAGGTGGGAAGTTCTGCATGCCCCCTTCGGAGGTAGAGGCAGGAATTCCAGAGACTGGGGAATTCCATGGGGTGTGGTCAGGCGTTGCAGGGCATGTGCTGGGAGAGGCTTGTGAAGGGGCTGATTGGGCCCACCAGAATGGTTTGCCCCTCTGATGGAGGATGTCTGGTGACAGAGAAGTTGCAACCTCTTGGGGTGAGGTTCTAAAGTCAGCGTGTGATGTGGAAACCAGAGATTGCCAGCTCATTATCATCTTATACCACTGGATCCGCGTTCAGTGTGGCAAGAGGCGTGTGAGACCAGAGACCAGTTCCAACCCTTCTCCTCTTCCGTTTGGGACATCCGCTCACAAGCGGGGTGGCTGAGTGTCCTTGTCTCTCTCTCTCCCACCCTCTTCATCCCAAAGACCTATAGTTGAGTTCCTCTTGGTGGCAGTGCATCTGCCAGGACTCACCTGCACATTCACATATGGATAGAATTCCTGTCGGGGAGAGAGCGAGAGCAGGCACAGGAGGTCCAGGGAGCTCATGGCTGGTTTCTGGCCAGGACCCTCGCTGTGGGAGGACTTCAGCACTCTGCTGTGTGCTGTCATGGGCTCTTTAGAGGAAGCTGGCGATGATACCACAGTCCTTCCTGGGACCAGTGGGCTTCCTTGCCGTGGTTCTCTCCCCTTGCCACCCTCCTCACCCTCACCTCCTCATGCCGTCTTCCTTTCTCTCCTTCTAGCTGTTCAACCTCTCTGAGCGAAGACCTGACATCACGAAGCTTCACGCCAAGGTGAGCCAAGGGCTGTTTTGGGTGGGGGTGTAGAAGGAGGACAGATGGACTCCCTCCCCGGGGTTCCCACATAAGAATCTTGGGGAAAATGCTGTGACAGTTTGAAAAGCCTATTCAGAGTGCCATCTTATGTCTGGAAAATGGAAAATGATCTATTTATTGTTTCCATAATGCAAATTACAGAACATGAAGCTTGGGGCAGTGACTTTACACCTAGATCTGCCCACCGGGGAGTACACAGAATCTGATGGGTGAGGCTGGAGTTGAGAGATGTTTAGTTTTTGGATTTAAAGCAGTGGAGTATCACTGCTTTTGACATTTCTGCTGCTGTTTTTCTTTTTTTTTTTTAAGCTGGAGTCTCCCTCTGTCACCCAGGCTGGAGTGCAGTGGCATGATCTCAGCTCACTGCAACCTCCCCCTCCTGGGTTCAAGCGATTCTCTTGCCTCAGCCCTCTGAGTAGCTGGGACTACAGGTGTGCACCACCATGCCCAGCTAATTTTTGTATTTTGGGTAGAGATGGGGTTTCGCCATGTTGGCCAGACAGGTATCAAACTCCTGGCCTCAGGTGATCCACCCATTTAGGCCTCCCAAAGTGCTGGGATTACAGGCCTGAGCCACTGCGCCTGGCCCTGCTGCCGCTTTTTACTCTGTTTGCTCAGGGGCTGCATGTGGGCTTTGCCAAGGGCGTCTGCCCCTGGCTCTGAGTCTGGTGCCTGCTGCTGTGTGGCCCTGGGTGGGTGACAGGCTTCTCTGGGCCTCAGTGCACCCTCTGAAAGTAGCCTGGCTGGATGAGGTGTGCTCCATGGGCCCTTGCAGAGTTCTCTTTTACTTTAAACTTGGTGAGTCTAGAAAGGTTTGGAGAGGCCTGATGCCCGCTATCCAGGTCTGCCCTTTGCACCCTGAAGACTGCTCTTGGCTGGCCTGAAAAGCAGATGGTTTTTGTGTCCACGGCCTAGAAAAGAGGCATGAACATCAGGCGGCCCTTTGCTTTTTCCTCCTACACCTGAGCCAGGCCTCAGGGTTGTCCATGGGAGGAGAGCTTGAGGACAGTGCTTGGGGCCTCAGTACATTGCAGGTCAGTCCTATGGCAGGGACCTGGAGGTCATCAGCTCCAAGCCTTTCTTTTTTTAAATTTTTAACACACATATGGGGAAATTGAGGCTGGAAGAGGACATGAAGCCTAAGGCCCCACAGTGAGTCAGTGCCAGGGCCAAGACCTGGGCCTAGGGTCCCTAGTACTGGGTCATGCATGGCCTTTGCCCATCACACCCCAGCCTACTCGCTGGCCAATGAACAGGGAGGAACCAAGTCCTGGCAGGAACCAGCAGCTAAGGGCCGCCCCCCAGGACTGGCATGTGGTGTATATGGCACCCGCTGGCTTGGTTGGCTCTACAGGGCTTTTGCCCTCTTCTCACTTATGGCTTGGGCTGCAGGTACTGGAATTTGGCTGGCCCGACCTCCACACCCCAGCCCTGGAGAAGATCTGCAGCATCTGTAAGGCCATGGACACGTGGCTCAATGCAGACCCCCATAATGTCATTGTTCTTCACAACAAGGTCAGAGCTGTGGCGTGTGTGTGTGTGTGTGTGTGTGTGTGTGCGGGCACGCGTGTATGTGTGTGTGTGTGCATGCATGCATGTGTGTGTGTCTGGATGTGTCCTTAGATGACTGTGTGTACCCGCCTGTATCTTTGGATTTTGTGAGCATGCAATGTGGGGGACATCAGCTTATGTCTATGGCAGTGGATGATGGATGATCAGCTGTGTTTCTTTTGAGACTCAGCCCCCCACCTGCTTCCCTCCCCTGGGGCCCCTTCCTCCTTATGGTCTTCCTTAAATCCACATCCCTCTCTCCAGCCCCGACTCCTTTCCACAAAGGCTTCTAGATAAGCTCTGGTGCAGCAGGACTGGCTTTGGAAATAAATGCTTTTGTGTTTTGTGGCTCTTTCAGGGAAACCGAGGCAGGATAGGAGTTGTCATAGCAGCTTACATGCACTACAGCAACATTTCTGCCAGGTAAGAGGGGCCGGCAACCTCCCATCCCCTGAACATGGACAGTGTGACCTCCCTCCTCTCATCCACCCACAGCCCCTCTGTTCGCTGGAGTGAGGAGATAAGCACAGAAGGAATGAGGACGGGTGCAGGGGTCCCCAGCTTGGAGGAAGGACCTGTGGACAGAGGATGGGAGGGAGGAGAGTCCACTTCTCTATCTGGGGCTCTCGTGGGCAGCCTTGGGAGGCAGGCCCTGTCATGAGCACCCCGTGCAGCCAGCTCCTCAGAGCCACTTTTCCTTGCCAAACAGCCTTCTTTTTCCCTGGGCCAGCAGGAAGGGAGTCAGAAAGAAATGTCAAATCAGAGCTGGGCTGGCAGAACAATTAGAAGTTATTCCTCTGCCATTTCTCATCCATTCCTCTGCCTCTGGACAGCAGGCCCCTCTTCCTACCTAGGTGTTTGGAACAAGAATAAAGATCATCCAGTCACTGACTCCCTTTCTGAGCCCGCTTTGCAGGGAGGCAGAGGGATTCACCCCTTTGTTTTGTTATTCATTTAACAAGGAATATGGCGGGGGGCGGTGGCTCACGCCTATAATCCTAGCACTTTGAGAGGTCGAGGCAGGCGGATCACTTGAGGTCAGGAGTTCGAGACCAGCCTGGCAAACATGTGAAACTCCGTCTCTACTAAAGGGCCTGGTGGGGCGGGTGCCTATAATCCCAGCTGCTCGGGAGGCTGAGGTAGGAGAATCCCTTGAACCTAGCAGGCAGAGGTTGCAGTGTGCTGAGATTGTGCCACTGTACTCTAGCCTGGGTGACAGAGGGAAACTCTGTCTCAAAAAAAGGAAAGAAAGAAAGGAAGGAAGGAGGGAGGGAGGGAAGGAAGGAGAGAAGGAAGGAAGGACCAATAAATATTGGACAGCCACTGTGCCAGGCTCTGTTCTAGGTGCTGGGAATGCAGCAGAGGGCAAAGCCAGGCCACTGCTTTCATGGGCGTTAAACACGTAAACAAATGCCTTAGTAACAGCAGGTGATAATTATCATGAAGAGTAAAGGGACTTGAGAAGGGCAGTGTCGAGGCAGGCACGTAGTCAGAGAAGGCCTCTTGACAAGGCAACACTGGAGCAGAGACCTGAGTGACCAGGATGGGAAGGGCTGAGTCATGTCAAGCCTATGGGATGAGCCCTGCACACTGAGAGAAGAGGAAGGATGGGAATGCGAGGGGCTGGGGTGTTTGAAGATCAGCAAGTGGGGGAAGAGGAAGAGGAAGGGAAGCTGGGAGATGGCAGAGCCATGGAGCCTCGTGGCCTCACTGAGGACTTTGGAGTTTGCTCTTAGGGTGATGGGAACTCACTGGAGCCTTGTGATCTTTTCACTTCAAAGCAATTTCTCTGAGAGCTCTGTGAGGATGGGTAGAATATTCTGTGGAGGGCCTGCTGTAGTTTTAGGACTTTGAGCAACCCAAGCCAGTCTCATCTTTGCTTAATGATGTGCAAAGATGAGGCTGTACCCCTACTGCACTCCTGTAACCCTACTGTGTGCCACATGTGCCAGGCTCTTTATGGATGTTCCCTTACTTCATCTCCATAGTCACTTTTGAGGAAGGGGGCAATTCTCACTCTCATTTGATGGGTGAAGAGAATGAAGTTCAGAGAGATTCAGGAAGTTGTACCAGGACACAGGGCTCATAAGTGGTAGTCCTGAGATGGGTTCCCAGACTGCTGAGCTTTAAAGCCCTGGGCTGAGTGCTGCCCCACACGGGATGGACAGATGCTGAAGCACTCTTTTCCTGAAAGCTTCTCAGCACGGGACGGTAGGGGTAAGAGGCTTGTCTGCCCTCTAGGACAAGGGCTGGCTGGAGGGCTCTGCAGGTCTGAGGGAGCAGGGGTGGGGACAACAAGGGGCTCTTGGACCCAGGAGTTGCCTCTTTTGACCACCTGTCTCTCCCTGCAGCGCAGACCAGGCTCTGGACCGGTTTGCAATGAAACGGTTCTATGAGGATAAGATTGTGCCCATTGGCCAGCCATCCCAAAGAAGGTGGGTCTCTGGGGCTCACATGTATGTGTGTACTCACTTATGTGGGGACTAGACTAGCGTACCCACAGGGATGGGATAGCTGTGACTAGGTGGGGGTGTGCCAGGCACATGTTTTCAGATGCCAGCCTGCAGTGGTATGAGCTCAGGCACACAGGAGAGCCCAGGAGCCAGCCTGTGGTGTGTGCCCCTGGGTTGGCATGGCAGTTGGCTATGAGGCCTGTGCTAGGGAGCAGTGCAACTGTTGTGGGGAAGCATCGGTCTGGGGATAAGAAGGTGCTGGTATAGGAAGGCGTGTGCTGTTTGGGCCTTGGAGGCAGGATTGCTTCAGTGCTTGGATGAGTCTACAGGAGACTGCGTCACTGCCTCCTGCGGTGGGAGGTCAGAGACTCACGATAAGGGTCACCTTCTGTTGGGAGAGTTTAGATAGTTTTACTGAGAGCTTTCAACCACATGATCTCATTGGAGTCTCACAATAGCCCAGGCGGAATGCAGGGCAGGGATAGATTTATTCATTCAGCAACATTTAAATCATCTACTATGGCTCCAAGCACTGAGATATCTAGGCGAACAGGACAGAGTCCTTTCCCTTGGCGAGCTGATATCTAATGAGAGAGATGGACATGAAACAAATAACCATACAAACAAGACAATGTCAGATAGTGACGAGGATAGAAAACAAAGAGAATAGAGCACTGCAGACACGAAAACTGATAGGAGGGGAATGGGGCTCTTTTAATGGGGATGGTCGGGGAATACCTCTTAGAGGAGGTGAATTTGAGCCTAAACTGGAATCATGGTGAGCTATCATGTGACGATCTAGGCATCCCATTTAGCAGATGAGAAGCTGGGCCAAGGCAGGGGGCATGGCCATGGTCTATAGCGATTAGTGGCAGAACTGGAAAGTACATGAAGGCCTGGCAATGCCTGGGCTAGGGCAGTGCCCCCGGTTGTGTGACCCCCTGTCCTGAGGGATCTTGCTCTGTATATGACATGTTGCTCAATGATATCCACGGGAAGGCACAGGCAGCATCAGGGGCAGGTGGTCTTAAGGGGAGGCTGCAGCCAGGGTGGTGGGAAACCCAAGCCCAAGCTGGAGATCTGGACGGTAGCTCCGTTTGCTGCTGGGAGTCTTGGGCCTGCCACCTGCTGTAATGTCAGTACCGTTCTGCGCACTGGAGATGTGGTGCTGAATCTGCCAGGCAAGGGTTCATGGAGCTCAGCTTCTAGTGGATGATACGCACACAAGGAAACAATCCAGATAGACAGGAGAGCTGCGAAGAAAAAAGCAAACCACGAGGGCTAGAGAGTGGTGGGGGTGGCAAGAGGGCTGATTCAAAGGGAAAGGCCTTCTGAGAAGGTGACGTGTAACGTGAGATCTGGGTGCGGAGAAGAAAGCCTCCAGGGGAGGGCCTGGGGTGAAGGATACAGAGGGATAGCACCGAATGCAAGGGCCCAGAGGCCAAAGCATCCTGTCTGCCTTTCTAGCCTGAACACACTGACTGGGCCAACAAGGGCCTAGAGCTGCAGATCTTCGAGCTCTCCAGCCTCACCATGCTGAGGGTCCCAACACATACCCCATCACCCCACCTTGCTTGGCTGGCAGGAACTGTGCTGTCCCTGGTGGGGCCTATCCCCACCCTTATAATGGGAAGCCCAAGAAGTGAGTCTTCAGGCAATACAGCATCTTACGGTTAGCACAAAACAGTTGCTAGCCAGCCTCAGAGTCAGCAATCAGAAGTGGGATGTCTTTATGCGCAGACAATTCTGGCTAGGTCCCCGACAGCAGCCGTGGATCCATGAGAGTCTTCCTAGGGAAGAAAGAATGATTGGTCAAGCACTGCCTTCTCAGTCTCTGGCTTGTCATGTGTGTCTGCTCACCGTGATCATGGTGTGGCCTTTGACCTTGAAGGATAAGGTTACTAAGAGAGAAGCATGCTGTTCCAGTGGCACAGTGTGGCTTGGAGAGAATGGGCACAGAGTCACATCTCTGAGGCTGAGCAGTGAAGGCCTGGAGGCCGGGGATCAGTGTCATCTCTCAGGAATAGGATTATCTGGGGATTCCCTGGTGTATTAGTCCATTTTTCACTCTGCTGATAAAGACATACCCGAGACTGGGCAATTTACAAAAGAAAGAGGTTTAATGCACTCACAGTTCCACGTGGCTGGGGAGGTCTCATAATCATGGCAGAAGGTAAAAGGCACGTCTCACATGGCAGCAGACAAGAGAAGAGGGAGAGCCAAGTGAAAGGGGTTTTCCCTTATAAAACCATCAGATCTTGTGAGACTTATTCATTACCACGAGATGGGGAAACTGCCTCCATGATTCAGTTATCTCCCACTGGGTCCCTCACACAACATGAGGAAATTATGGGAGCTACAAGTCAAGATGAGATTTGGGTGGGGATGCGGCCAAACCATATCACCTGATGTTCAATATGTGTTTGCATAGCATGCAGTTGGGGGCGTGTCTCTGTGGGTGTGTACATTACCAGTGTCTGCCTGTCTCCTATCTGACACTGCCTCTGCTTGTGGGCAGGTCACCTCTCTGAGCCCAGATGTGAAAATGCAACTGTGGATTTACTATGCATTTGTTGCCACTTTCCTGCCTTCTTGTCAGTGTCGCTTGCAGAGAATGGAGCAGATGGAGCAGAGGAGGGCAGGGAAAGAGAGAGGGAAGGGCTTTGCCTGTAGCTCTGTCATTCATTGTTACCCGCCCCCGGACTCATTGTCCCCAGAACACAGACACATCCTGTTGGCGTGATCCAGAGATCTGATAGGAACCGCTATTCCAGGTTTCCGGCTTGAGTAATGGGGCAGGGGGCTGGGCAGGGGCCTGAATAGGAGCGGGTGCTGCCCATCAGATTATCTTACTTGAGTAGTCTGAAGAGGCCCCACCCAAGCCCAAGGACAGAGGCCCACAGGCCTGGAGGGGGGCCAAGGAGCCTAGAGACAGGAGGGGGTCTTATCATGGTCATGTGGGTTCTAGTTCCACCCTCCTCAAACAGCTGCTATTGGCTTCTGCAGAGCGTCAGAATACATTCTGATTGGTTTAGCTGCCTCAGCTTGGCATTCCCTGGCCAATCAGAAAAGGGAAAGTGCTGACCAATCGACACAGAAGGACTGATCTCTAGTTTATTGGGCAGATACATTAGAGCCCAGATTTCTTTCCTGCTCTCGCCACCCACTCCCAGCTTTGTGTGTTCTTGCTGTGTGTCTCTGGAGTGCAGTGGCCCCTTCTGGACCTTATTTATCCTCTCTGTCTAGAAGTAGAGGGTGTGAGCCAGTCCTTCCATTCTTCCAGCAGATCTTTGTTAAAGAATTGGGGGATGTTGACCCTCGAGATAGGAATACTTATTAGAAACTAGATATAAATACCAAATAAACTCAAGGATACCGAGGGACTTCATGTACTTTAGTGTGATATAGAGAAAGTGAAAAACTACATTTATTAAAAGTCTTGCTCACTATTTGCTAGACTATCTCTTGTGGCTGCTGGATCTGTGGGCAGAACTGGGGCTGTGAGTATAAGCGCAAGCTTGGTTTGAGCTTTGTGTGTTTTCTCATTAGCTGCTTGGTGGTTGGGTCTGCCTTGTGCAGCTAAATGATGCTTGTCAGGGATGTGGGTGGAAATTTTGGTCCAGCAGGAGATTCTTGGGCTGGGAGTGAAGTAGGAAAGAGATGTTCATGTTGACCACCAGAGGGCGGTAGCAAACTCCAAGTGGGATGCTTGGCTTGACCCAGCTCTAGGTCTGGCATCCTTGCTCTCTTCCTACCTGGGGCTCCCAGCAGGCAGGCAGGCAGGTCTGGGAGGGGGGCCTGGTTGGGGAGGGGATCATGTTGGTTGGGGAGAGGGTACAGTCGGTGAGCAGCCTAGGGCAATGCGCTTGGAGAAGAGAGAACAGGGATGACTGCGTCAGCACAGACCTCTCTCCCTGAAGCTGCTTCTCCCACCGCCACAGGTACGTGCATTACTTCAGCGGCCTGCTCTCTGGCTCCATCAAAATGAACAACAAGCCCTTGTTTCTACACCACGTGATCATGCACGGCATCCCCAACTTTGAGTCTAAAGGAGGTACCTGCCTTGAGCCCTCTGTCCTCCACTCCTGCCAACTCCTCCCTCTCATCTTCCATCTTCTCATCTAAGAGGCAGCTGTGGATAGTAACAAACAGCACGAGAGCTGCGGAGTCATAAGGCTTCCAGTGGACTCTCAAGTGCTTTGCCTCCTGAACTTTTCTAAGCCCCAATCTATTCATTTGCAAAATGGGTTTGATATTTGCAGTGCCTGCTGGCCAATGATGTCGGGTGGGCAATGTTTTTATAATTTAAATTGCTTTACAAGTGAAAAGATGGTATTTCTTCCCCTTTCTGCTTCCTCTTTTTCTCTTTCCTCTTTTCCTCCTTCCCCTTCTACCTCTCTTCCCCCATCCATCCATCCATCCATCCATCCACCTACCCACCCATCCATCTACCCAATCATTCATCCCTCCTTTCTCTCTTTCTCCCTTCACTCTCACCTCTGCCCCTCCTACCTGTCAGTTTCTGCTGTCTTAGCTAACACCCACCCTACTCTTATAGGATGTCGGCCATTTCTCCGCATCTACCAGGCCATGCAACCTGTGTACACGTCTGGTATCTAGTAAGTATTACATGGGAATAAGAGGCCAGGGATGCTCAAGGCCCAGGGCTAAGGACCAGGGCAGGAGGGTGGGGAGAGGAGAGAGTTTTCTCAAGAGGCATGAAAGGACAGTAGCGAGGTTTTCCACTAACCCTGTGGCATAGGGGCAGCAGGGAGAAAACACCCCTTCCTCATCTCCCCTCCAGCAACCCTCTTTTTCTGCCTGCCTCTCTCCATTAGCAACATCCCAGGAGACAGCCAGACCAGCGTCTGCATTACCATTGAGCCAGGGTTGCTCTTGAAGGGAGACATCTTGGTGAGTGCTGTCCCTCTGTCTAAAGCCCTATCCTTGTTTATTTTTTCTCTCTTCTTTTCTCTTCTCCCTTTCTGCCTCAAGACAGCTACTCCTCCTGGGCTGCCAGGCCTGGAACCATAGGCTCTCAGGGCTCTTGCAAGACCTTCCAGTCTCACACAGTTCGTGTCTCTTACCCTGGGCTTAGCTACTGTTCTGGAGCATCTCCAGGGAAATAGCACTCAGTGTGAGCTGTTACCTCCTGGCTTCTGATTGGTGACAATGACCCTCTGAATCCTAACTTCAGTCCTTCCTAAATCCATCTTACTTTTTTGCACTCTGACTTGTATGCAGTAACTTCTTGGGAGGACATTTTTGTCCCCAAAGGCCAAGACTGGCCTCCAATTCCCTGCTGTTCTAGATGTTTCCCCACAGAACTCTGAGATCCTGTTTGGTGTTGATGAGCTCTCCCTCACTGGGTTTGGGGTGAGCCTCGGGGGCTCAGTCAGTGGAGCTGATAAGGAGGCTCCCTGGGACCTGACCTCCCGGCCTTAGGCCCCTGACTGGCTCTGTCCATCTTTCCACCCAGCTGAAGTGCTACCACAAGAAGTTCCGAAGCCCAGCTCGAGACGTCATCTTCCGTGTGCAGTTCCACACCTGTGCCATCCACGACCTGGGGGTTGTCTTTGGGAAGGAGGACCTTGATGATGCTTTCAAAGGTGGGCTCCTTGAGTGGAGCTGGGGGTGGGCACCCCTGTAGTAGGGAGGGGAGCTCAGTTTGAGAGGATATGGTGGGTATGGGGACTGTCTTTTCTTAGCCATTTGGTCTGCCTAGTCTCAGGGTGATGGTGGGAGGGAGTTGAGAGAGACTTGGGAGAGAGTTGAGGTTGGGATGGCCTCGGAATTCCATAGTGGAAGTGGAGGTAATTCCTCCCAGTCCTTGGGCTGTTTTATATCTTCCAGCCTTCTATGACTTTCCTTGTCTCTCCTTCATCTTGTCCTCCCAGTTTGTCACATGTCCTATTGATAATGATTTTTTTCAACATTCATTGGGCATCTGCTTTGTGCTAGGATCTGTACGAAGTGCCAGGGATTCAAAGTAAAACATGACATGGTCTCTGCCTTGGCGGAGCTCAAATATCTTGAGTTGGGAGGCAGACTAGCAGGGGATAATTATCCTGCAGGACAGAAGAGCAATAGTGAAGGGCTGTGGCAGCAGCAAGGGGGAACCATTTTCTGAGGAAAGAAGAGGAGGTTGGGAAAGGTTTGGTGTTTGCTTTTTACTTCTTTCTTTTATCCATTGGAAGTTGCATCTGTATTACCTTCATGCCTGGGACATATAAATGCACATTTATTTACCCATCTGTCTGTCCATCTACCAGTCTATCCTTACATCCATCCATCCATCCATCCATCCATCCATCCACCGACCTACCCACCCACCCATCCATTCACCCATCCACCCATCCATTCACCCATCCACCCATCTATCTACCCATCCACCCATTCATCCATTCATTAATCCATCTCTTCATTCATCTATCCATCTATCCACATATTCATTCATCTATCCACCCATCCATCTATCCATCCATCCACCCGCCCACCCATCTACCCATTCATCCATCCATTAATCCATCCCTTCATTCATCTATTAATCTCTCTATTCATCCATCCAATCACCAACCCACCCATCCACCAAGCATCACTTTTGTGTTGGGCATATGCTAGATCCATCCATCCATCCATCCATCCATCCATCCATCCATTCACCCACCCACTAAGCATCACTTGTGTGTCTATATGTGTTGGGCATGTGCTAGACTCTATAGGTATGAACAGAAAGAAGTCAGGCCTACCCTCAGGGAGTTCACAGTTTCCTCATTGAGAGACATGCAAACATGATGCTATGAAGTGATGCCTGCAGTGATGGAGATACGCACAGGCATGATAGGTGTCCCATGGAGCAGATGCCATCCTTGCTGTAACTCCTTTTCCTACAAGCAGCAGGCAATGATCTGTGTCCAGAGTGGGCCCAGCCAGAGAAATATGGGACCTGGGGCATGGAGGAGGGTCCAGATCTCCTTAGTGTAGTCTGGCTGATGTAGAAGGGTGATTCTTTAATGAACTCTCCTTGCACTGGAGCCAGAAGATGCTGTCATAATTACAGTACAGAATGTAAATGATAACAGTCTTAACAAGGACAAATGAAGGCATACCTGATAAAATAAATAAGGGGTTGGGCAGAAGTTGAGAGAAGGGAGGGTCACAGATTTCCTCCTCCTACATAGTGTGAATCAGGAGATAACACTGAAAATTGATAGATCAATACATAGAGGAATGACAGGCATGGTGGTTCATACCTGTAATCCCAGCTCTTTGGGAGGCCAAGGCAGGAGGATTGCTTGAGGCCAGGAGTTTAAGACTAGCCTGGTAAACATAGTGAGATCCTGTCTCTACAGAAAATAAAAAAAATTAGCTAGGTGTGGTTGTGTGTGCCTGTCCAAGCTATTCCAGGGCCTGAGTCAGGAGTGTCACTTGAGCCCAAGAGTTCAAGGCTGCAGTGAGCTATGATTGCACCACTGCATTTTGGCCTTTCCGACAGTGAGACGTGGTCTCTAAAAAAAGGAAAATAAATAGAGGCTTAACCATCTTATTTAAGGGTTCAAAGATAGTCCATAGAATAAATAAAAACAATAATCAGATTTAAGAAGAAGGGAAGTGGGGGTAGTGGTATAAGTGAACCAAATTGTTCACATTTATAGTAGTCAATCAATAGAGGTTATTTAAAACTGATGTCTGGCTGGCCGTGGTAGCTCACGCCTGTAGTCCTGGCACTTTGGGAGGCTGAGGCAGGTCGATTGCTTGAGCCCAGGAGTTCAAGACCAGCCTTGGCAACACAACAAAACTCTGTCTCTACAAAAAAATACAAAAACGAGCTGGGCGTGGTGGCTTGCACCTGTAGTGCCGGTTACTCTGGAGGCAGAGACAGGAGGATCATTTTAGCTTGAGAGATTGAGGCTGCAGTGAGCTGTGATCGCACCATGGCACTCCATCTAGGGCGACAGAGCAAGACCCTGTCTCAAAAATATAAATATACACTCCAGCCTGGGTGACAGTGAGTGAGACTCCATCTCAAAATAAATAAATAAATACATAAATAAAATAAAATAAACTTGGTACCTAGAAATAGCGGCATAGAAATAGTGACTGTTATTTAGACTCTTAGAGGTACATTGCTGGTAGAAAAGAAATGGAAGTGGTCAGAAGCAGTTACCTCATTACCTCAGTCAAGTAGGACAGGGGCTAGAGTGAGCAGGAGATTTAATTTCATTGTATAGATATAATTTCATGTATATAAGTAAAAATATAAATATGCTTTGATTATTATTATATTATTAACTGTGTTCATAGATGGTATTTTAATTTTTTCCAGAAGAAAACTTTTTATGGAATCCTTTTTGGGACTTTTTGCCTATTTTTGTTTTTCCTTCCCTTTTCTCAGATGATCGATTTCCGGAATATGGCAAAGTGGAGTTTGTATTTTCTTATGGACCAGAAAAAATTCAAGGTATAAGCCAAGTTAGAATTCATTATCTCACTCCTTCCCTGTATCCTGACCTTATCCCCACCACCCTCCCACCCCTGGTCTGTTCCACAACGATCAACTTATCTTTGAGAGGCAGACCATCAGTAAAGGATCTGGGTTTCAGAGTGGACCCCTAGCTAAACATGAACCAGTGACTTAATCTCTGGATAATAAAAATAAAAAAGCAGACAGAGAGGCGCTGGGCTGGATAAACTGTTCTGGTTCCCTTAGGTCATCAGCCTGTTATATTCAGAGACTGAGGGCCATGGTAGATGGAGGGCGTGGCTGGCGGGCAGGGGGCACTCAAAGGTGCTGGATAGATGAGTATTTATGAGAACTGAGGTGATTCAACCTGAAGGCCAGTTTAATAATAACCTTTAAGCCTCCAGACTGGTTATAAGTGGAGACCAGTTGTTCACCATCTTATTTAAGAACGGAATGAAAGGAGATGAAGTTAAGTTATGGGCAGAGGACCCTGGATGAACTATGGAAAGGACTGCCAAGCCAGGAAGGGAACTCACCCTGAAAGGCTTGACTGGCAGCTGTACTGTCTTTGAGCTGGGTTTAAAAAAAATGTTATTTGCTTATTTTTAAATTTTACTTTAAGTTCTGGAATACATGTGCTGAATGTGCAGGTTTGTTATATGGGTATACACATGCCATGGTGGTTTGCTGCACCTACAACCAGTCATCTAGGTTTTAAGCTCTGCATACATTAGGCATTTGTCCTAATGTTGAGCTGGGTTTTCTACAGGTGGGTAGGAGCTCTGCTGTGTCCCCTACGTTTCTGTCCAGAGTGGAGAGAATTTTAAGAGTGGGGCAGGGCTATGCCTGGGAGGACCTTTTGGAGGGTCTATGCCCTTTCAATGTCAGGGCTGTGATTTCCCTGCTGTCCCTGACCCCGTGCAGCTCATAACCAGCCTGTTCCCCGCTCCCCAGGGTCTGACTCCAGGGGCAGACTTTCTAGTCTCTTGGCACTGCCTCAGGAGCCCTGGGGACACAGAAGAGAAAGAGGCAGACACCCAGCCAGGGGTCCTTCCCGCTTTCTTCCAGGGGGTCTTCATTCTTCAGTGCCTGTCCTGATTTACCCCTATGACCTGGCATGAGCCTTTGCAAGAATGTAAGAAACTAGACTCCCAGTTCTCCGTCCAGCTTAAGCCACTGGTCCGGCCCGCCATGCTCAAGAAAATGAGAAGTCCCTCAGGGAGCATTCTTTGGGGGAGCTTGTGGGCTTCTCTGTTTTTCCAGCTGCTGATCTCTTTTCCCTCCCCACACTGTCTCCCTGCCTGCCCCTGCCTTTCCCATCCCTCTTAGGTATGGAGCACCTGGAGAATGGGCCGAGTGTGTCTGTGGACTATAACACCTCTGACCCCCTCATCCGCTGGGACTCTTACGACAACTTCAGTGGGCATCGAGATGACGGCATGGAGGGTAGGTAGGACCGAGAGGCTCCTGGCCCCTCTCCAGACTGCACAGCCTCTGCTCATGTGACCTTGCTTCTCTTGGTCTGCTATCTAGAGATCTGGGTTCGAGAGGAGGCAGAGGGGAAGTCAGAGGCACCTCTGAGAGCTCATAGTTCACTGGGGGACGATATGGCACATATATGGATGTATTAAATATTAAAAATGAGGACAGAGCCAAAGAGTACAGCAAAATGGCCACCAGGGGGTTATCATGGAAGTTTATTGCTGCAGCCAAATGGGTTTCGTGGACAGTGAGTTCTCTGGGATTGGTAGGGGAGGGATTTTGAGAGCTGGAGTGGTCTGGGAAGGCTCCTTGGAGGATGTGGTCTTGAGTGGAGCTTGAGATACCCCCCATTGCGTGGCAAAAACAGCATTTGTTACATGTACATTAAACCCACTGTTGGGTTTCTTCAGGCTTACTGCCTTAGTTCTCTGGGGTCAGAGCACTAGGAATAGAGACACAGGATCCAGGGCCTATGAGCTTTCATCCACAGCCAACACAAACGTTTGAGAGCTGGGAACAAACTGATAGACCCTGAAATTTGAAAAGAAAGCAGCAGAATTGAAATTAATACGTGTTTAATTTAGCTACAAACCTAACATTATGTCAAACGGTCAACTGCAACTCAGGTCGTCTCTTGAGAGTTCTACGTGTGTTCTATTTATTTATGTGGTTCATTTGCATATGTGTAAGGAGATGTGGGGTGGGCTCTGAAAGTGAGCGTGCCTAGAGCTCAGGAAGTCTTGAGATGCCCTGTCTGGGGTTTGGCCACAAGCTTCTTTTCCTGAGTTGGTCATAGGACCGCAGAATGTTGGAGCTGGAAGGACCTTTGGGATGGTCTGGCCCATCTCCCATCTGTGTTCGGTTGGGGTAACTGAGACCCCACCAGAGGCAGAACTTCCTGATTTACCCCCATGACCCAGAAAGGCCCTTTCAAGGATGACAGCACCCCAGCATTTGAGCTTCTCCTCCCAGCTGAAGCCAGTCCTTGGTGGGGCTCTGCCATCCTGGGGCCCCTGGCAGAGCTGGGTTAGAGACAGGCAGGCCTGGGGGCCTCCCCCTGCCCTCTTTCCTCTGCACCGCCCTGTCTCCTGTCTCCTTCCCCAAGGTTTTGAATTTGATGACTCCTCTCTGAAAGTCTTTGGACCTTTTTTTTTTTTTTGAGACAAAGTCTCGCCCTGTTGCCAGGCCGGAGCGCAATGACGTGATCTCACCTCACCGCAATCTCTGCCTCCTGGGTGCAAGTGATTCTCCTGCCTCAGCTTCCCGAGCAGCTGGAACTATAGGCGTGCGCCACCACACCCAACTATTTTTTTGTATTTTTAGTAGAGATGGAGTTTCACCAGGTTGGCCAGGATGGTCTTGAGTTCTTGACCTCATGATCCGCCTGCCTTGGTCTCCCAAACTGCTGGGATTATAGGCGTGAGCCATTGTGCCTGGCTGGGCCTTTTCTTGAATAAAGATTTCTCCTCTGACCTTGGGGGCACCAGAATGAGCACAAGGTTTCGGACAGGGGTGGGATGAGGGAGGGTGGTTGGACTACAGTTTGGGGACTTCCTGAGAGCACATTTTTTACGTTTAACGTTGCAAAGTGGATGGATGGCCTGTCCTCACACCTGCCTCGGTTCCCAACCCCTTCCTGTGGTGTTTTTCCTCCCCCAGGGGCTCAATACCCTTGGATTGGCCGAGACACCCCACCAACTCCCTCCGACCCCCTAGGCTGCTCCGGAAAAGCACTCCCCCATCCCCTCTTGCTGAGTGGCCAAGCAGAAAGCGGAGGCTGGAGTGATTTGTTCTGAGGTCTCAGTGGCTGCCAGCCTAATTGGCCATTGTGCTGGGGATGTTTGCATTTTTAACAAGAACACTTGGCAATTGGAAAGAATTTTTACTGTCTCTCCATCTCTCCTTGGTGCAGAGTCAATGCGATGATAAATGTTAAAACATTTAGTAAACTATAAAGTGCCAGGCAAATAAAAGGTAAAATAATTAAGGGTGAGGAGGAATTGTGGGAAAGATGGGGCTTAGGATATAGTTGGCTGTGGGGGAAGGAAGAAGAGCAGACGGTCAGAGTGGTCAGAGTGGGAGGTGGCCTAGGGACAGCAGAGCCGAGAGCGGCTCCCCCTCTCGGCAGAGGGCCAGCTTCTCAGCCTCCAGACAGGGCCCCTCTGTACTTGCAGGACAAGCTGACCTTTAGCTGGCCAAAAGGTCCCGCTGGTTCCATCCCTCTGCCTGAGGGAATAGATTAGAAGGGAAAAAAGGAAGGGCAAGGGGGCAGGACAGGCGGCCAGGACCTTCCCTTGCCAGCCCTCTGTCCCCTCTCCCTGCCTGTGGCAGCCTTCATGAGAGGCAGTTTAGTATGTGGTTAAGAATGCAGCCTCCACAGACAAACTACCTGGCTTCAAACCCCTTGACAAGATACCGTCCCTTGGGGCCTCGGTTTGTCCTGCTGTGAAATGGGGATTCAGTCACCAAATCATTTTCAGCCCCTTGAGGGTAGCACAACCTGAGGAGGGGCTGCGTGCCGTGTTTCCTTGGGAGTCCCTGATACATCACTGTGGCCAGCGTGTCAGGCGCCCACAGACATGGCTAAGGGAGAAGGCCTGGGCTTACCACGCATCAGACCTGGCACCAAGAACTTGGTAGTTGCCATTTCATCTGATGCTCCCAGCGATTCTGTGGCAGTTTTAATGTCCGGATGGGGAAGCTGGAGCACAGAGGGGTTAAGTAACCTGCCCCAGGTTGCTAAGCCCTTCAAGAAAAGATCTAGGTTTCAAGCCACCGCACTACCCACTGTGCTGTCCTGGGTTGGCTGATGTCCCTAGAGGTCTGCTCTGGGCATCTGGTTGGTGGCAGTACCTGGGTCTCACTGAGCCTAGGACCTCTCTAGCCAATACTCTCACTTGTGGACAGACAAGTTCTCCCCATCCTGGCTGTTAGGAAGAGGGAGGGTTAGGTGAGGGGTGCTGTGCGTGGAGCATGGCACCCAGAGGCACTGGGCTCACTCTGAGGCAGAATGTCAGTGCAGGCAACAGCTCAGCCCCTGGCCCCACCCACAGAGAATAGTGTGGGCAACTCACTCAGGAATGCTTCTGATGAGTGGCTAGCGTCTCCAAACAGGTAGAGGGATGCGTGTCCAAGGTGACCTGGGGCAGCTTCTGAAAGTGGCCCCCTGCCTACCTCTCCTATTTCAGGCCCACTGGGGAGGGTGATAGCAGAGGCCAGACCATTCCCTCTGAAGCCCACCAGGTGACTAGGAGTGGAGGACAGGGAGCACTGAGCCAGGCAGTCAGGAGCAGATGTCATCTCTGGCCTGCATCCTCTCGTGTGGCCTGTGTCCCCACCTTGCCCTCTCCTGGCAGTGAAGCATGGCCAGCATCAGGCTCAGAGCTTCTGGTCCCCCAGGAGGCCCTCCTGCTGCTCCTGACTTAACCTTTAGCTTAGGAACTGCTGTGCGTTTAACTCTTTCCTCACTGCCTGCAGCCCCCCAACCCAGCTCCAAGTTTAAGTTTACAGCTTGCAGCACTATGACACTTGGAGCCTTCTCCCAAATTCTGTTGAATTGCTGTTCTCTGAAGGCTGACCTCTCAGGCTCAGGGGGCCAGGCCACTCATAAAGCCCAAGAGGGAAGGGACTTGCCAAAGGGGCAGGAAACCCCATGTATGGATCCTCCTTGGCGTTAGCTTAGCTCAGCCTGGACTACCCCATATCCTGAGTGAAGACCCTGGAAGTAGGCAGAGGTTAGCAGTCTTGTCCAGGGTTATGAGACAAGAGGTGGAGTTGATATTGGAATCCAAATCCCTTTCTATCTCCTTTGGAGCTCAGCTTATCAGCACCCCTGAACCCACATCCCTAATTCATTGAGGTGGCTCCTTCAGGGCGGTTGTCCCACTTCTCAAGCCCTAATGATGACAGGGACTCACTACCACACAGGGCAGCCCGTTTCACTGTGGGACGGGTCCAGCTGTGCCTCTGTGTAGCAAACTGAGGCTGTGGTAGAGACTTTGCGCTCACCTGCACTTGGGCCAGAAGAAGGGGGTGCGCGATGAGGGTGAAGAATCAAATGGAAGCTCAATAACAAGGACCTCCGACCAGACGATGTTCTCTGCTATGGGACAGTGGCCAGCAGCAGAGTGCCTGCCATCTTGGGGACCCTTTACTTCCAGAGCAGTGCCTTCTGGCGAGCCTTATGCCTGAAGTATTATTAGTCTGTTGGGGAAGCCACAGCAAAACGCCACAGACCGGGGGGCTTGTGCCACAGAAATGAATTTTCTCCTAGATCTGGAGGCTACAAGTCTGAGATCAGGTTTCGGTGGACTGGTTTCTCCTGAGACCTCTCTCCTTGGCTTGGAGATGCTGTCCTCTCCCTGTGTCTTCACATCGTCTTCTTTCTGCATGTATCCGCATCCTCATCTCTTCTATAAAGAGACCAGGTGTATTGGAGTAGGGCTCACCCTAATGATCTCTTTTCACCCTAATTGCCTCTTTAAAGGCTGTATCTCCAAACACAGTGGCATTCTGAGCTGCTGGGGGTTATGACTGCAACGCAGGAATCTGAGTGGGAAACAGTTCAGCTCATCACACCTGAGAGGGAGTTTTCTGGGTCATATGTATTTGGATGCCCCTGGCGTTTGATACTGAGTGGGTAGGAAGGGAGGGTCAAGGATGGGTGGTGGGGAGAGGTCTGGTGCCCTCCTTGCGGGCGCCTCTGCCTTTCTCCAGTTAGGTCTGGAGCCTGCCAGCTTGGCGTTGCGGCTTACCCCAGTTTCACAGCCTCCAGAAACCCCATTAGCAGCTTGGCCTGAGTTCTGACACCCCGTGCCCAGATTCCAGGTCCCCATGGGTAGGGGTGGTGCTATGTTTTTGCCTCTGTAGTATAGAGCAGGCTCCAAATTCCTCCGTAGTGCTCCAGGGCAAGCGTTCTCGGAAGCAAGCCCTGAACCAAGGGATGTGGGCTGCCCAGTGCTCCT